GCTGAATGAAAGACATCAAAACAGGCTTAACTGGTCTGTCATTACTATGGCGTGCCATGCATTTGCTGTTGAGCCATGTTGCAGTGTTTGGTACTGTTTCTCTAGCACTCTGTGTGCCAAATACAGTCATTGGGAGAACTGAGATCTGTCAACCATCTGTGTCTGGTATTTTTTCATCCTCAAATGGGAAAGATATCAGTACAGAGCTACTGGGTGGGGGATGGTGGTTCTCGGAGGTCTCTGGGGCTTGTCATTTGAGTTACTGTGTCCCTTGCACAGCATTTACTGTCCAATCCTTGGACCTGACATGTTTGAGTCTCTTGAGAATAGTGTCACAATATGACAACTGGTTACAGCATCATTTCTTAAATATTTGCCAATGGTCAGGAATATCCAGACAGCTTTCATGTGAACGAGAAACTTACTAATCCGTGAACTTGGGCTTTGTTTTATTTTATTTTATTTTTAATTTACATTACATTGGGGAAGAAGTTATGGCTTCTGTCCTGGTGGTAGGTTAGAATGTACCAGCTGTGACACACCATTTACAGAGGTGGATTCATTCTGCAGCAAAGCTGAAAATGGTATTGATCAAATTTGTGCAAATACCCTTTATTAATTCTTGTGCATGTTACTTGTGTATATTATAAGAACTATCTCACTGTGTTCTAGTAATGTATGGAAACATGTAGAGACAAAATGATTATTAGTCCTGGTATTTGTAATTTGATTTGTGCAGCAGGCATTAACCAATACTAATTTGTTTTCTTTCTCCTTTCTCCCTTATTCTAATTTTCCATGTTCTTAGTGTCTGAAATTCCAAATCTAGATGGTCATGCTATCAGGTCTGAGTCTGCTTTGTTTAACCCAAGTACAAAGATGTAGTGTAAAGTGATATTAATGAAGACTGAACTGGGACCTAGTCACCCACAAGCAGTAGGAGAGCTTCATATTAGGATAGGCCTAATAATGAACACAAACATAGTGGAATATGGTGCCAAACTGAATCCTTCATACTCTGTCAAATGAAAACACCAGAATAAATCTTCGTGTCTCTCTGTTGGACTGTGGGTTTGGCACAGGGATTGCTCAGACAGTAGCTCCAGATGCCCTGAGAACAGAGACCTCCTTTGAAGTAAGTTGCAGAGTTCTCATATTCCATTCAGAGAAGAAATAGAATGTAACAAATTGAAGCAATTTTTATTTGCTGCTGATTAAGTATATTTGAGAACAGTAGTCAGTTGGACTACCCTGTGTCTTTGCTAGTTTGGGAAAAATTGTCTTCTTCCTGGGTTACCTTACTGAGTACAGAATGCCTCTCTCAAAAACGCAGTCTCTTAAAAGAGCAAATCCTTTTATTTAAATCCATCAGCGTATGTAGTATTGTTTGTTGTTTGACGTAGCAGTTTCTTTTAAATAAACTTGCAAGATTTATTGCCACAGTGCAAACTCAAACGCTGAGGGAATGATAGTTTAAATTGTCAGTGAATTGTGTGGCCAATCAGTCTATGATTTGAAGCCTTGAGAACTCCAGGAAAGCCCTGAAAAAAATGTTGCCCTGTGGAGACTTGAAAAGTCTGTGAATCTGCTGTGAGAATTTTCCCTCAATTCTCATGCTGGGAAATGTGTTATTTCAGAAAATTTAGAAGTGACAGAGGAATTTGACTTTTCAGCTTTGAAGTTCTGAAGTATGTGAACATTTTTCCTTATTTGTGGGCATGACAAACTCTGAATACTCTATTCTGTCTCTATGTGTGGATATGCACTTACAGTGCTATGGCACTGTACAGAAAAGAATGTTTAGAGGAATCAGAAAGGACAAGTTGAACTGCAACGTAAATTAAATAACAGAGATAAATGATGCTGCAGGAGTTAAGATGACGAAGACCATGTGTCTGTAGGGAAGAAATAATATCCTCAAGCAGCAGATTGCCCTAAATTGTTTATTCTTCCTTATTTTAAAATCTGGGTTCACAGAGAATCAGAACCTTGAAGATTATTGTACTGGGACTAAGATGTGTCTGTTAAGGCAGAAAGAAGGCTATACAAGGTGACCATGAAACCTGACAGAAATACACATGAGAAAGGCATTGTTTGCTTGAATTTTATTTTTCTTGGGTTTTTTGTTTGTTCGTTTGTTTGTTTTTTGTTTTTTGTTTTTCCTTTGAAAATAGAGTCAGTTAACTTTCAGGCACAACAGGTTTTGATCCATAACTGATTTTTTTACCTTATCTGGGAATAGGCAGTGTACCTGTACTCTTTTGAGCAATGTTGGATAATGCAGTTCATCTTTCTGAGCGACATTGAACCCCAGGAATCTAGGAAAATGGATTTTTCTTCAGGTCTTGTGTAACAGAAATTCCTTCTTCCTCTTGTTTCATGCAAGGCATTGTCTACAGCCTTAACTCCTTGGTGGACTGGAACTCTAGCAGTCCCCTTGGCAGGATTCATCTTTAACTTTAGGAGATTGGAAACCTCTTAAAAGCATATGTGAACAGAAATGTGGGGGATATTCAGATGATTTTTAGAAACTTTGTAACAAATCTAAAAGGAAACCAACAACCCCACCCTCAGTTGACGGAGTATGATAGATATTTTGTTTTTTATATCTACTACCAGTTGAAAACTGTCAGTGGCAGACTGTCAATATATCAGAATTTCTCATGTCATAGGTGATATTATTTCTCACCACTCTCTCTCATCCTCTCTCTCCTCTTGCAGACAGAGCAAACATAACAAAGGGCAGCATCTGTGTTACATTTTGCATGGACATCACTGGCTAATTTTTATCCATACCTGAAATTAACAGTGGGGAAAGATTGTCTGTTAGGAAGCTAATCTGGTCAGACTATGAGCAAAATCATGTAGCCTAAAATTCATGGGAGCAGTTAGACTTCTGCCCGTGTTTAGGTACCTACATACCTTTTTAGATGTGACTCTGAATGCTTCTGATTCCCAGTTTCATATTGGAAACCACAAATAATTAGAAATTAGATGATATTCCACTAATTCATTAGGATGTTGAGATGCAACTGCATACCATGAAAACATATAAAACAGAGAGGATAATAAGTGCCTCACAGGAAGCTACTGATGAAAGATATTCTTGGTACCTGAATCTCAGAGCATCCATTTATTTCACGTTGTTCTTTAAGTATGCCCTATAAAAAGCAAAAAGTAAGAATGTTGTGACTTCTGTGTGTAAAACTTTTCACACAGATAGTAGAGTACATACCTTTACTAGAAAAGGATGGAATTGTCTCTACAGTGATCAAAATTCCACATTGTTAAATATAAACAGTTTTATGGTAATAATAGGAGATTTGCAAGGAAGAGGGATTCATTTACTTCTAAGAAATGCCTGACCTCTGCTACTTCATAATCCATTAGAGAAAGCTAAGGTCCACATAAGCTGGCATTCTTTCTCTTTTACCTGGAAGGCGTTATTTTTTCAATAAGTACCAAAATCAAGTCAATATTTTTAGAGCTAGTGTAATTACCACTTGAAATGGTCTAATCTTTGCACTGAAGTTGTCTGATACTTTGTATCCAATGCCAGTTGGAAAGAAATAATTAAGATGTATTTGGTAATTTAACTGGAACATTTGAATGGGTTACATAAATAATAGACTAATCATAAAATTGTCTAACCATTTAAAATAACATAAACTCTACTGCATATACTTTTATGTGAATTAATGTTGCTGTCAGAATTTATGAGAAATCTTGAAAGAGGATTTCATTCTTACCTTATGGTTAATGCTCTCATAAATAATAATTCGTCAGTTCTGTAAGACAATATGTGCTATAAAGTTGTTCAGTGCACCTCTTTGAAATAGAGGTGTGCATTTAATGTTCTGCGCAATTACTCTATGGATAAAACTGCAACTTTCAGATCTCATTTTTAGAACTGCCAAATCATACTCTAACTTATCTTTTAGTTCTAAAGAGAATAAATGGCACTAGTAATCTAATGTTACATAGAACAGATCTGGGACTTTTCTTGTATGTGCAAGTATTGTGCAGTCTTTTTCTGCATAAAGTATTATATGGGTGTATCATTGATAGCTGACCAACAAATAGTCAAAAATATAAATAAACAGCATTAAAAAAAATAAATATGTTTTGCCCCCCAAAAACCAATCTGATACATTAAAGGACCATTAGAAGTTGTGTTCTGGTTCTTGCTTAGGCCCATGAAAGTGATAGTGGCTAATCATTTACAAAGTGCTGATCTTTCTTAGAGCTGAACACCACTACTCCTGTTTGATATTTTGGAGTCTGACTCTATCTCCTTGCATGGAACTTTCATTCTTTTCTACTCTTTTGTAAAGCTACTTTAATTTTGTATGAGTGAGAGGGAAGAATGCAGTATCTAGTGGAATATTTGAGATGAAAGTTTAAATTTATCTTTAATTATAGTTTGAAAATTATTTTACGTGATCTTGTATATGCAAACCAAAATATCCAGAGAGTGAAAAATGGGCAATTGTGACATTTTTGTATGTATTTTTGCCTGTATCACATTGCCAACAGTCAAAGCTGCTCTCTACTTTAAAACTGACCCAGCTATATTTGTTGGGCTCCAGCACTCATTATAATGTCTGTGACAGCCTGGCATCAGTAGAACATCGGCATGGAAGCAGCCACTTCTTTTCATCTGCTGTCACTATCATCTGTTCTGTAGTCTCTGGGCTGAGCTTCTCAGTCTCTGTGTAGGGTATTTTTTTCCCTCTGGACAGGAAAGTAGGGCCTCTGCATGTATTTAACCCCACATTTTTGCAGGATACTATTATTTCTGCTTTTAATTGACTGCAGTTTTACAGGAGAGTGTATCCCAGATGTGATTACTCCTAAATGAAAGAGCACTAGTGTTGGACTCGAATATTTCCCATCCAATTACCATTTGCCCCTTCATTTTATTTTGAAAGTTTTTTCACTTGAGTATGGGGTTTCCAAATGAGTCTGGTAATCCTGGATTTTTTCCCTTGTTTTTACAGGTGACCTGTAACTGTTTCACCATCAGTAATGGAGAGATGCAGGATGTTGGTGTTGGCCTATATCCCAGGTACCGTGGACACTGTTTCATTCACAGGCAAAATCTGTTAGGTTTTTTTTTCCTCTTTTGCTAGGTACCTATAAGCACCATCAAAGTAACAGGTAACGTGTTCAAACAAGAAACTGGGAAATGCAAATAAATTAGAAGAGAATAAAAAACAGTCATCAAATTGAAAGCATTCTTAGAAGTTCTGATTACAGAGTTAAAGCAGGCTAAATAGGATGTGTCTTTATTTTTATGGAGATTGTGGTCATTTTTAAGTAAGAATAAATGCTAACATTAGAAATGTGTCACTAAGGCTTCCTAAAAAAATTGAAAGGAAATATGTTCTGTGTTGCTTTGAAGGATAAATATTTTGCAACCAGGAGCCTTCTAAATGGTCAGTTAAAAGAAAAAAAAATTGAATGTGTTTATTAGTAAATTACCATAAGAAAGTAAGGTAAAAAGTTAAACCCCTTGAAAGATTATATTTGAATTCTTGCTTGTATTAGTTAAGAAAGATGTACCAGGTAAGGGTTTGCATTCATAGAATTTTGTTACTGTGACTATCAATGTTGAACATGAATAATTGAACATTTTATCTTACTATATTAATTTCTTTGTGTGAATGTAGGGTTGAATTGTATTGTCGGGATCTAAAGGGGCCTGTTGCTGTTTTTTCTTTTCCTACTAATGTCATACATGCACGATTTGACTGAGGACACAATCTTGAGGCCTGCTTTGTAACAAAGAAATATAAGGGAAAGACTGCTATGAGGACAGGGAAATTAATGTTATGAAAAACACAGGCCAGTCATCTGATTTCAGAGTGGAATGGAAACAAATTTTTCACGTACTTTGGGACAAATGGAACAGTATTTTGGAGCATTATTAGTTAAAAGTTTTCTTTCCATTGAAAAAAGCCCCTGACTGGCAAGAAGGTAGCTGTGTTCTTTAATGGTGCCCTGCAAAAGGATACAAAAGATTTTTTCCCATTTCAATTCAAAGCAGCTTTAATTTTGCTATTTCAAATCACTCTGAGCAGGGAAAATTGTGAATTTGAATCTGTAGTTCTCAAATCCTAGGCAAATGCCCTTCCATCCTCTTCCTCCCATGCGGATTTTAAGGAAGGCAAATTCAGGCATGGCTTCTATTTGAAGACAGACATTGATAAATGATATTTTTTCTTCCGTAACCATGAGCAGCCCATCTTTCAAGGATTTTATTTATTGATAACTTAATTGCTTGATATGTAAGATGTAATATAGTTATTATACTATATACTTCTAAATTATGTCCACGGTAATGACAGTGTACTAAAGTTTTTTTCTTTCTCTCCCTCTACAACCCCTCACAGCATGTCTTTGCTGAATCACAGCTGTGACCCAAACTGTGTGATTGTTTTTGAAGGATACCAGCTTTTACTTCGCTCCGTCCGAGAGATCCAGATTGGCGAAGAGGTAATTAACTTGTCCTCCCTTCCATCACAAACACCTGCAACAATGACATTTCCCTAAATAAATTCCAGACTGCAGGGTCACCAGCTTAATATTTTGATGATATATTGATGCCAATTTTTAGCACGTAGCTATCAGGGAGAAAATGATTAATAGAATCATCTCTTCACACTGCCTGGGCCCCATAATCATTACTTCCCATAAATCACTAGCAGTCTTGATAAATTCTTGTTCCTCCTTTCCTCCTCTGGGCACTTCATTTTGTTTGTGTTTGAATGTCTTTACCCTGTTTCCATCATGGAAACACTTAGAATATTTCTGAGTGGAATGCAGTGTTCACCAAGTCGTTGCAACAATAAGCACTTGTCAGGCTGCAGCTATGCTATAGTAGTAAACCCTTAATTGGCAGTGAAAGTAGCAATGCCAGGTTTGTTTTTTTGTCATTTCACTAGGAAAGACTTCAAAATATCACTCACAAGAGATTTCAAATTCTAAATTATTCACAGCTTTGTTTTTAAGACAGCATTCATATTTATTTTGAAAACAATTCATTTGTAGCTAGGTAAGCATTTAGATGTAAATGTCTGTCAGAGAAATGTAATGCAGAATTTGCTTAGTAAAGCCTGTAAAGAGAAATACATAAGTAATTTGGTATGTAACAATGACCTGTGCAGTTCTAGCTCTTAGTTGTTTCATAATCATGACCTCATGTAAATATGGTTCACATCAGTAATTCGATATCTAGGAAGATCAAGGGCATACATATTATAATTTGGGAGCAGCATCTCTTCCTCCCTATGAATTGTTGTTCTTTTTTTTTTTAAATGCATCCTTTCTCTATGATCAGAAAATGTAAATGGTAAAATATATGGTTAGGCAAAATACTGTGGAGAACCAACACCAAAGCTTTTGCTTAATTTTTCTGACAAGAGAAATCTTGTAGGATGCAATATGCTTTTGTGGAGCCAGTAAGTGTAGCCATTATTCTGTCTGGCATTCTTGTTCAAGCTGAGTTATATGTACTTACACACACTATTCATTTATCTTGACTTCTTGATTCACAAAGATGGGTTATTTATTTAAAAATACAAGCAGACTGTAGTGTCTTCCCAGGATATAAGTGCATTAATCATTAGAGCTCTACATTTTTATTTTTATGTACATGAGTATATTTTTCCAGCTGTGATGCTGTGACCCAAATTTTAGACCTTTATGGATCTCTAACACACAGAAGTCTCCAGGTCAAAATCAGTGGTGAGGTAGATATGGTGCAAATTATAAGACACTTGTAAAGTAATCAAGGGAATAAATATAAATGATAAAGTAGAGCAGTTCAAACTAACTTCTTAGCAGTGACTTGGATAGTTGTGTGAATATGGACATCAAAATGATTACACCTTGTGGGTATCATGTTTTCTAAGAAACTTTGCCTCAGAAAGTCAGAATTTTCTGGAAAGCTTAAGTTGTTTTCTTTGATACTTTAATGGCTCCTAGTTTTGGTTCTTAAAGGAAAACTTGTCTTAAGGAACATATAAGTGCATATAATAATATCATATAAAACAATATAATTACACATCTTGCAACCAGTTTCATATCCATTGAACAGTCCACCCATCAAATCCATACCTTTCCAATTTGGAGAGAAGGATGTTGTGGGGGACTGTGTCAAAGGCCTTACTGAAGTCCAGATAGATGGTATCAGTGGCTCTTCCCTTGTCCACTGACACAGTTATATCATCATAGAAGGCCACTAGGTGTTGGTCAGGCAGGACCCGCCCTTAGTGAAGCCATGCTGATTATCCCATATCACTTCCCTGCCTTCCATGTGCCTTAGCATAGCTTCCAGGAGGATCTGCTTCATGATGTTCCCTAGCACTGAGGTGGGCTGACAGGTTGGTAGTTCTCTGGGTCATCCTTTCTACTATTTTTTAAAATGGACCCAACATTGCTTTTTTCCAGTCACCAGGGCCTTACCGATCTGCCATGACTTTTCAAATATTGTTGAGATTGTCTTGGCAATTACATCAGCCAATTCCATCAGAACTCTGGGGTGAATCTTGTTGGGACCTGTAGACTATACTGTCTATGGTATTATACTGTATAATATCAAAAGCTCTGAGATGGTATGATCGACATTGTGTCAAGTCAACAAGAAATCTTAAATAATTATGAGCAGTAGAAAACTTGCCTGATGCTGTTCAAGCATAAAGATTTAGAATGAGATCCTATAATAATTAGTAGTGAATAATCACTAAGATGCATTAGAAATAAGAAGCTTAGTAGCAAGTCAGCATGAGATTAGAAGAGCTCTGGGGCATTACTATTCATAGAGGGCAAACTTGATAGGGTTTCTGGGCACTTGCCAGGAAAGTATCAAACTCTGGAATATGATGTATTCACTATGGCAGTGAAAAGTCAAAAATATTTTTGAGTGTTTTAGTGCTTTCTGTAAAAGAATGCTACAACAATTTACTCATATTTATCAGTTGTTGATCACCTGTAATCACAGGGAAATCAGAGCCAGAGTGACTTGAGGCAACTGCTTGTTGTGGTCATCTCACAATTATAAAGAAGGCACAGGAGATGTTTAATTGTGCACCAGTAGGATACATGCTATTATACTGAATGTGTCTGCTGTGGTGTGATGCAGACTTATTCTGGAATCACATTTATGCCTCAGTTATACTTAAGAGGGTTCATCCTATATACAATAATTATACTGGTCACCACTGATAAAATGTTTGCAAGACCATAAGAACCTAAAAAAATAATAATTTCCTGATGGAAGTTTTCTTGTTTTAGTCTTGTGTCTAGGCAGATGTTGGCTTTGCATGTTTTTCACTGGAGGACATGTAGCATTTAATGGGTTTTAATTTAATTTTTGTGTGGGCTTTCAAATTTATTTAGGGCCAAAAAATAGGCAGTAGGAAATTAGGACTCATATGGCAGAAGAAAATTTTGGCCTGAATCCCTGTAGAATAAAGATGCTAAATCTGATGATGTTGTGTATTTGGAAAGCTAATCACTTCTATAATCACATGCAGAAATTCTAGCCTCTTTGGTCCTCTTTTGTGGCAAAGGCAGTGTTACCAGTATTACTTGAAGCACTAAGAAATCACGAGTCATAATTATTAGTTTTTAAATAATTTAAAATATGTGATTTAAATATGTGATTCATGTATAATCACTTGGTTTCCAGAGCTAAAGCTTTAAGAAAGCAAAATGTGCTTCAGGTATCATCATAAATACAGAGATCTGGGAAGATGGAGAATTGTCTGTTCCTTAGGTGTTACTTTGCAAGACAAAAGTTCAGATTTATCATTGGGTATATTGTTTGGATTTTGTATTATGGTTCTATTATATTGCATACTCTTTGAAGGCAGAAAGTTACTGTTTTAAACAAAAACACTCTGTGTTCCCTTTGGCTTTCACAATTTTTAACAATTTTTTTGTTAATTATTGTGTCTACTTGGAAATTTGCAGACAAACATTAATTCATTTTGCCTACTCTCCGATCAGAAGTTGCATAGCCGTGGTTAGTTTGGTGAGTAGCTCAAATCAATTAGTCATACTCAAGAGACAGGATGTATGAGATGATGTTGAGCTCTGCTCCAAAATGTGTGCATGGCTTCATGTCTACTTCAGAGTTCAGTAAGAGCAAATTTGTGTATTTTCTGCTGAAAGCCACATAATATACAGTCCTCTTAATTTTTAAATGCATACTAAATAAAATTTGTAATTTCCTATGACCAGCAGTAAATATATTCTTGATGAATTTTCAACAAAGATGTATAAGATTTTCCTGGAATTCAAAGTCATGTTGGTCATAAATGCCAAAAGAGAAAAATCACAGCCTCGTGACCTACGTAACTCTGTCTCAAGAACAGATGTTTCTACACAACCCTGAGACCCTGAGACTCATTGCAAAACCAAGGTGACTTACTTCTTTTTCCCCTGCCATTTGCATTAATTATAAGTGAGTTTAAATTCTTACAGAATCCTGTCTAAAAATTCTGTGGCTTATATGAAACAAACAAACAAAAAAAACCAACAACAAAAAAGACCCCATAAATTGCAGCATGGCAGTACTGGAAAATCTTGTTCATGTCATTTGGGAGATGAGGAACATGAGAAACTATCCACCATACCCATGGTTAAAGAATTTCTCTGTTGGAGCAAGAAGTATGGCTTAGACAGTGTTGCATTTCCAAAGAGAAGATCTTGAGAGTCAATACATCTTCAGGCTTTTAAGCAATTCCCCTGCCTTCATAAATGCTATTTATGTATTATGTATTCTTCAACGTGGGGAAAAAGATTTACTACATTCTTCATAATCACTTCAATAAAGAGGCAAACTTTGGTCAGCTGAAATAATGTTTTAATTAATCCCACACATCCCACATGCAAATACCACTAAGGCAACCTTTGATAAATGGGCATGTATCATAAATATGTACAAGTTAAATGAGGCTTGTATCTAATGAAGAGATCCAAAATTTAAGCAAGTGTAGGAATGAAACCTGAATACAGAATTTTTATGTTTAAGCAGTTAAATGATTACTATAGACTTAGTCACCATTAGGTTGGTCGTGTTTCTAAATATTCTAACTCCATTTTCCCACTCACCAGCTACAGACGTTCTTTTCACTTATGGCAGGAGTGGGAATTTGGACTTGGGCTTCTAATGGCAAGAGAAACCCTAAATCATTAAATTGTTAAAAGAAGATATCAATGTGATGAAGTCTTTTGTCCTCCTCCTCCTGCCTAGTCAGATGTTCTAATCCAGAGCAGGTTGTTGAGTGGTTCATATCCACTTCTCTTCAGTAGCCTTTGAGAGAAGAAATTACTGGTTTCAAACTTGTTCCTGCTTTTCAACTTTCTGCAACACATGTGGCAAGAGAAAAAAAAAAAAAAAAGGAAAAAAAAAGAGAGATTCAGAAATGGAAAGGGAGAAATGATGAAGCCTTGAAACCTTGAGGTTGAAAATAGAGCATGTCTGATGCTAGCTGTGTGTTTGCTATGCAGCATTAAAACTGAACTCTGCCTGTGGAGAACAATTTTGAGGGAAACCATTTGTGAATTGCAAGAAAGCATGGAGATCAGGGGCTTGTGCTGGGAGAGAACAGTTGGGCTTGGAATGGCTGAAGGATGAGGCCTACAGCTTGACTGGAAACTGCTTTGTAGGAAAGAAGAGACAGGTCTTTCTTACCACACTAAGGAGGATTCAGAGCAGGACCCTCTAGAGGAAGAAATGAAGACATATCATCATTGGTTCACTGAAGTTGCTTAAGAGACTAGAGTAGGGGAACAAGGACTGTAAATTTGGCATAGTAACAGTTAGTGATTAAGTGTGGGGAAAATGTGTAAGATGCATGCAGGGAAAGGAGAAGGGCACAGCTGAGACTGACTGTATGACTTAAGGCAGTCATTTGTATCAATAAGAGCTACATAAGGAGCTAGAACTGTGGGCTGGAAACCAAGCTTAGATTGGTAGGTGTGAAGAATAAGACTGGAAAACAATACTCGTGTCCAAGGGCAGAGAAGAGAGAATGAAAAGAAGAAGAGGTTGGAGAGAATGAGACAGAAGAGATGAAACTTGGCAGAGAAGACTGGAAAAGAAATAGGCAAAGTGATTTCCATCCATTCCCCACAGAAAGCTCAGGAGGAAGCCCACTGTTTCTGTGTAAAGGATTAGTACAGACTGTTCTGCTTTCCACCTGCAGCAGTGAAACAACTCTTCTCTCAGCTGAGAAGTGAACAAGCTTTGGCAGAACATTATTTAGAAAGCAATATCAAACAAAATTCTTTAACTTTCTGACTTCTGATAATGTGTGGAACTTAATTTGTCTCTTTAATAAACTACACTGTCAATCTTCAATTAGGTGACCGCATATTTTTTACACAAGCTTTCTGCGTATGGTTGTTTTAAGTGCTTGACTTCACTATCTCAGTAATCTTGTTTTAATACAGTCCTCCTGCAATAAGTAATCACAGTGCATTGTAATAATAAACGAAACAGAAATGCACGCATTATTTTAGTTGCTTGCTAATTGCTTGTTTAATTAGAGTACTCACTAATTTGAAAAATGCAGGTTCTAACAGTGGACTTCATAGTCATTAGTAGAAATTGGTCAGGTTTTCCTGTGAGTACTTTGAGTGGACTCTCATGGTTTAACTGAGAACCATGTGAAAATTCTCCCAATTAGTTGAAGTGGGTAGGCTCAGGATGAAATAATATGACCTGATTTTTTAGCTCTGACCTCTCTGGAGTGTTTCAAAGCATGATGGGTTAGGTGTACAGTGTAATCACTATGTAGCATTTATTTCTGAATGCTGGTCTGAGATGGGCTGTTATTTCTTTATATTCGTTCCCTTATCATTAGTTTGTGCCCACACAGCACTTCAAACATTTGAAGAACTCTACAGATAGTTAGCCTTGAAAAATTCCTTCTGGCAGATGTCAAAGTCAACAAACAAGTGTTCTCTGTAATTCACTGGAATTTGTTATGGAGTATGAGGAGTTTAAAATAGCACAAATTTAAGCATTTTCTTCTATTTTTCATTTTAATACATTTTCTTTTCAATAGTTTCAACAACTTTGACTGCAATTCTTTTATGGTTTTTTTGTCATGAGAGAAACATCACAGAGGGACTGGAGACAGGGATGACGTAAGAGAAGCCTAGTGCAGGCTCATGTATAACACAAAACATAATATTTGCAAGAAAGTGACTGTTTCCAATTTCCAATAAATTTTTTTGAGATAATCATTATTTGTATAACACAGATGTTAAATGCACACTTCAGCTTTAGAGCTAGACAAAAAATGAGTTTTCATGCACAAAGATCTCAGCTGCTGAAATTCCATTCTTTTTTTCTTTCTTTTATGTTCTGTTTTGTTTTTGTGTTTTTTTGTGGTTTTTTTTTTTTTTTTTCCTCCAAGGTTGAATGAAAATCCGGAATAATGATTTTTTTTATTCTTTTTTTTTTTTTTAGGATTAAAAGTTTCAAACATTATTAATCTGGAAATGTGAAAAAGCGTTCCTCCAATTGAATTTATATTTGTAAAAATTGATTTTTTTTTCTATTTTATCTGTTAAGATTTCATGTTATGCAGAAAAAAATGTATCAAAAAATGTTACCTTAGCTACGTGTAAAATTTCTGTAAAATGTACCAAGTGTTTCTGTATCTGCTGCACACAGCTCACCGTCAGCTATATTGAATCACTGATGCCCACCAGTGAACGACAGAAGCAGCTGAAGCGCCAGTATTGCTTTGAATGTGACTGTTGTCTCTGCCAGGATCAAGAAAAGGTAGGTTGAACAAAGAAATCTCTTGTCAGTGCAGCAGAATTTTCCAGGGGCATTCAGCACCTTCCCTACCTTTATGTGGTACTTATATTCTGCTATTAATTGAATCACCAGTATAGTGAAGGAAGTAACCCCTGACCTTAGTTATGTTTATGTTGACACAAAAAACAACCGTGAAGGAGAGCAGGAAATACTGACCGTGTTATAAGAATTTCTTGCTAAAACGTGCAAGCTAGGAACCACTTTCTGTTCTAAGATGTAATTCAGATTATTTTGAGATTCAAGGAACTCTGAAAATGAATTGGTATGCCTTTCAGCTGAAAGGAAAGGTTGATTTTTTTTTTCTATTAAAAAAAATAACATTGGAACAGAAACTCATTGCTTAATGCAAGAGGAAGGTTTTGCTTATCTTCATAATAATGTTAAATTCTGACAAACAATTGCATCAGTGAATTTTCAAGAATAACCACATACATTTAGCAAATGTCAGAGCTAAGTGACACCCATGGTGGTGAATCTCCTTGTACAACTACTCATGGCTTTTATGCTATCTTTTGGAAGTTCTGGGAGCAGATGCTGTTGTAGATAAAATTTTGTTCAATAGGACCTAAGGTTCAAGCTGGCCTTGTTTAATCCTTTTTGGGTTTGCTTCATATTTAGACAGCTCAAGCAGAATAATTCTGGCTGCAAGCCTGAGGTGAGATCAAATGGAATATCTAAAATGAGGCTGTAAAATTTATTCATAGCAATTCATGCACTTTGTCTCTCTAGTTATAGATACACTCGTTCTAATTTTCAGGAATGAATATTTTTCATAAGTCACATGCCACAGCTTGGTGTGTTCACAATAGACCAAATGTGAAAGATTTTAGTGAAATTGTGATTCTGAAGAGTGTGGCTTGATTCATGAAGTGATTGCTGAATGGATAAAGATTAAAAATTAGTCCAACAACAACAGCATTTTAAAAATGTTTGAGGCAGGACAGCTGTTTTTTATTTTTGTTCAAGTCAGAGGATGCTCATTAAAAACATAACGTATCATTTGAATCATAGATAACCAGCTCAGAAAAGAGACAACAGAAAAGTTTCAGGTTTATGACATAATACTAATTGACTTCCTGTCCATGTGTAAAGTTGCTGGCATTTTGTGCCTGACGAAGATTGCTGCAATGCTATTTGGAGGGAATGAAGGCAAGCAAAAACCTCTGTCTGTATTTAAAGATGCTCATTCAAGTGCCTGCCATGAAATCTCAGATTAGCTTTGGGGAATGGCATCTCAACACAGATGTAGTGATGATTAAGAAGCATAAACATGCTGACGAGTTTTTATGGATCACTTAACAGTCTGTGGAAGGGGAGGCAAGTGACATACAGACCGTTCAGCATGTCAAATGTTTTAAGGAATAAGATCCACAGGTTGGAATACACTTACAGTCACTAATACTCAATATACGCTAATACTCAATCTACAAATGCTGTATTGATGTTATATGTATGCACATTATGGAAAGTAATAACCTCATAAATAGGTTAAAATTATTTTTTTTTTCTCTTTGAATGTTTTTTAAATGTGTTTTCAATTCATCTTCAATAGATTTTTTTCTTTATCTTTTGGGAACATTCCCTGTGAGGGAAAGGTCCTTCTGATTGCGTTCTGAAATTCTTTAAACTTTCTCATTGTTACCATGTAAAGACATCCCTGAAAAGCTAGGATCTCTTCTCAACATTGTTGATGTCTAAGACAACATCTTCTTTGTTCTTCATTTCGATAGAGGATAATTAGATATAATCTCCAGCAATCTTCATAGTACTGCATTTCTTTTCTTTGCAACAGAAATATTACTGTTGTAACATTTTTCATGACTAAATTGGTAACAGGTGCATTTGATCTCAGCCTCTGATGATAAGCTGGGAGACATGCAGCATTATAGGTACAATGGAAGAGAGAATTTTTTTGAAATCTTGGTTTTTGACATTACATCATAGGTGGATTGACATATCTGAAACTAATTGAATGGCAAAGTTTTTCAGTAGCATCACTTCTGAAATACCCTTGGTACTGGCAAAAATTTACAGGACACCTTGGAAAATTTTTTTAAAGACAAAATTTAGTTGACAAAATAGGCAATGACTGTAGCTCTGTGTGATTGAGGGTGGAAGCTTTAACTTTGTTATTCAATAAGTAATAATCAGCTAACAGTAAATTTCTGTATTACAACAACATTGCATAGTTAATACAGTGGGCTTAGTCAAACAGCAATCCAGTTCATAAATCTTCGTTATAAGTAACAATGTAAGTTCTAGTTTCCTTAGAAATGCCTTATACCTTCAAGTTCTTGGTTGGCTTACTTGTTTTTTCCTCTTTTCTTTTTTTCTCCCTTCTTCCCTTCTCCAGTTGTACTTATCAAAACTCCCTACATTTCCAATTTTAACACTTACAGAGATTGTATTTTCTTGCTGCTCCCAAGTTCTAGTCTTGCAGAGTATCTCTGCCAGCTGCTGAGTTTCTACTAGAGACCAGTGGAAGTTGACAAATCACTCTTGAGATGCGCAGATTTATTTACAGTAAGGTCAAATCCTTTTCACTGTACCTTTATTCTACATCTTTTATAATTATTTAAAAGTGATCCTGAGAATCCTGGGGGAAATACACATTAAAGAGCATATAAAGCTTATATGTAGTTGTACATGCTTACACATCTGCTTATTTATGCATATTTTTCAAGATACTTTGCAGCATCTCTTCTGGTATATTTTCTAAAGAGTTCTTCTCCGTATCCAAAGAAGAGACGAGCAACTCATTCATGCTTTCTTGCAATAGGCATATACTGGAATGGCTTTGAGAGGTTAAAGAAAACCTTAGAGCAAAAACCCGCTGTTTAAAAAGATCAAGTTAGGTGAGATGGATTACATTACTCCACAAAAAGAAGAATCTTATGATTACATGTCTCTATAGTTCCAGATGGCAGGGAGTGCAGTTTCAACTGCATAGGTTATGCTTCAAATATTTGTCTCTGGCTACTTTAGATACATTTATAATATAGCTAGTGTAGCTGCTTCTTCACTGTTATTTGAGCTTAAATTGATTAAACTAGGATGATGGTTACATAGTACTTCTTTACTACAGTTTAACTATGTATACAAAGAAGAGTAGCATACCAAAGTGCTCTATTGCTATTCTAGTTTATGTGATTCTACCAGGGGTTTTTCTAATTTCCGTTTTTTTTTAGATTTCTGGTAAGCTATGATTTAAGATGCAACTTATCTGTGGAGAAACATTTTTTATTTCTCATTTACGTTTAATGTGGATACGTGTAATATTTTATGCAATAGCTATATAAAATAGCAACATTCCCTCTGACACCATCAATGGCATTAACATTCATAATCACTTTGTCTTTATGGTAAGATATCGAGGCTTTATACAGTGTAGCTATTGTCTCTATTTGCTTCCCAATTACAGTTCTTTTGCACAATTGTTCATATCTCAGACTGTTATATGTCAAATTCTGCATTTTCAAGTATACTTGTACCACATCCCAATCACAGGGATCCTACTCAACTGTTGTTGAGACACAATGACTCACCCAGTGTAAGCAGACACACGGTGCTGGAACAAGTGGAGAGGACCATGTCTGTGCAGATGGCCTGGCACTGCATATTGTATGAGCTAGCATTCCTCTTTGGTCACTGCTCTTCAAAGGGATTCGTGGTGAGTCTCTGCTGGCTAAGCATTTTCTGGCAAACCCAGGTTCATAGCTGTCATCAAGGATTAGAAAACATAGAAGGTGAACAGGGGTGACTAGCTTTAGCTATGGATCTCAAATAACTTTTGGTGCCTGGGTCCCAGTGTCGGCTTCACTTTAATTCTTGAACATCATACCATAATGCTAGCCATTTCATTTCAGCAACTGGTCAAGTGGCCTGGCTACTGATTTAATATGGGAAGAAAAGCATGTGTTAATGCACCAGTGTAAACAGGTTAAGATCGAGGTGATCCTTTTTACAGTACAGCTACTGCCCCATTAAATAGTACTAACTGCAAATCTATCCAATATTTTTAATTGATTGTGACTTGAGATGAAAAACAATTCAGTAACTAAAAGAGGGAGAAAGATGACCTCTTTTTAAGTCACTCTCAGAATGTTCGCTGGCTCTCAGTATTTCAAGATTTTGCTGCTGTAATGTCTTCATTGTATCTCTGTTGTATTTATACATTATTTACTCGACATTTTTAGATCAATCTCCACTGTAATTCTGAAGTGTATTACTTCCTAAAAGCTGAACTTCTGGCACATAAAAGCCCCTTACATTAATTATAATTAAAGATGGGATTACACTGATGACAACTATTTTAAAAGGAGAATGTTTTTTTCCAGAGCCAGATTATTGTTCACCTTTTCAGCCAAGGATTTACAGGAGATTTGTGCTTATAGAATCACTTCACTATGAGTTGTCTTTCTCCTTGGGAGCCAGGATTTAATATTTTAGTCTAGCTTGGTTTTTGGAATGCTTTTATTTATTACAAGGTCAAAAGCAATGGATTTGAATCATTTATACATTTGGCCAGTGTTTGATACTTGCCAAAGCTAATAATAACATAATGCCAGTAAGTACTTTATTCCTTTAATCAGTTTATTGCTCTGCTTAGTATTCAGTCATAGTGCATTCTGAGTTTTGGTACGGAACATCACGAGTCTACTTTCCAACTTGAAGATTCTCAGAATTAGGTCATCTGAACAGTAGCCAGACCATCTGCTTCCATACGAAAATGTCATCTACAATTCTTTAGCTGGTATTACCCTTCCATGCACTCACCAACTTTTTTATAAAAGCACTGAACAAGCTCCTGAAGCTACTAGATTTTTGACTTTTTTTTTTTTTTAATATCCTGAGAAATAATGAAATTGTAGCTTATGATTGTCATTAAATGTAAATGGTCCTTTAACTCACTCAGTCGAATTTGTTGTGGAACATGTCCGTGGTTGACTCGTCTCAGAGGT